AGTGAGCTCAGACACAAGGACATATTAAAATGCCCACCCGCATCTAGAAGGTGCCCATCTGGCCATTTATGTACAGCCGGCGGGGGCAAGTGGTTAAAAACCAGCAGCATCTTGAATAGAAAAGCCTGCCCTCTGCAAACAGGCTACAGAAATGGACTTAATCACCTCCCTGCTGAGTCAGAGCCAGGGCTTTAATCAGCATTGAACATGACCTTTGTTGATTGCAGAGTTACAGGTCTGACCCAGTAGGGAGCACATCAGACCCACTGCAGAGACCACTGCTTTCTCTCAGCCTGGTTCTGTCAACACTTCAAAAACCACACTTTGTCAACAGAGGAACATCTCTAAGGCCCCGTTCACGTTGAGCGATTTATCGCGCGGTAATTCCCGCGATATCACGGCTATTTACCGCGCGATATCGCTCTTCAATGCTTTGCAATGGGGCAAAGGGTCCTGCTGTCGCGGGTCGTGTGTCGCTACAGCAGGACCCTTTTTGGAGCGGCTTTTGCCGCGATTCAATGGTTTTTGATGCAAGCATTTGCGTGATATCGCGGAAAATGCAAATCGCGCGATTTGCGATCGCTCAATGTGAACGGGGCCTAAAAGTTTCAGTCACCTACAAAGTTGCTTTTTTCATTGCCATCACCTTGGTGAGACATGTTTCTGAGTTAGTGGCCCTCTCTTGTATATAACCCTTTTTTGTTCTACACCTAGACAAGGTTGTCTTGAGGCTCAAAGACTCCTTTCTTCCTAAAGGTGGTTTCTTCCTTTCACTATATCCTGGGACATTGTACTTCCTTCATTCTGTCCTGACCCAGTACATCCCAAAGTGTGGATGTGGTATGTGCGGTTCGAGTCAACACTTCCATTTTTAGATTCTTGCTTCACAGTGTAATGAAGAACCCCAACCTACTGCTTATGGTGGTTTAAAATGACTTAAAATCACAGGGTGAGGATCACTTGTGCTCAGGTCATCCCTCCAGCTACACTTGGTGATGTTTGCCTTCTAATCTATTAGCTGCACCATCAGGAGAAATGATTGGTGCCCTAGGCTGAGGATACATTTAGAAAAGTTGTCCCTGTCAGACCTGGGCTTAATGACAGCCTTAGTCTACTCAGACCCATTGGGAAACAATCAGAGTGCCGACATTGGTTTAATAAAGGCTTTTTCTTGAAGATGGGGCAGATAGTAACATTGGTAGGCCAACCAAGAAAACATATGGGTAGTAGTTGTAAGCATAAGAAAAATAAGTCCTACTGAGTCACTCCCTGGCTCTATGCCTCACAGCAATTGTGTTGGCTTGCACCCTTGACAGCTCCTCATTGCACGCAGTTGAGTTGTCAGGTCTGGTAGGCTTTTCTATCAAGGATGGATGGAGCGGGAGGATCATAGTTCCATCTGCATAATGATTATATGACACACAACATGCTAAGGTGGAGATTGTAGACAGAGATGGTTGAATGTCCCAAGGAAGGACCTAGTACCTTCAATATTCATCCTTTAGTAGGTTTTAACATTTTTCAGACGTTTTTAACACAGTATTTAGGTTTACTGCGTTTGTATTTGCATTTTTCTTAAAAACTCTCAGATGCCCATTTCCTGCTTTTTAAAACACACGTCTGCATTTCATGAACTTCACTTTAAAACACTTCTGCCTTTACCAACTTCTAGGATAGAAAAAAAAAATCTTAAACGGGACATTCATTTTCGAACGTTCGATTATTTCCACTTTATTGTTAAGTTTAGGTGGATTACTAATGCAAAACTAAAGCTATATAGCAACAAAATTGGTAGCAAGTTTTAAGGCATTGGACTCTGAATGCGTTAAACTAAACCATGAGCATTTGTTATAATCTGAATTACCATTCTTGAATTGGTATAAAAAAAGAGCAACCTCACTTTGTTTTTTTATTATATACTTGTATTCTCTCCCTGTCGGAGAAGGAATGTCAGGCTGAGTGTCAGACAGTAAGCATGTTGTGTCTCCTGCCTGAACTCAGTACTGATAACAGACAGTATTAACGTCCGTATAACAAAGGTGCTGTTAAAGTTACATGAAAGAAAATGAAGTGTTCATTGACATTTTATACCAATTTACACCAGTTTGCTCCATCCAATCGAAGAGTGCATCACTTATCAATTCTGAGCTCAGACAAGAGACAGGTCATCCTCCATGGTGACCTTAAAGGCTCATCCTGGGCTGACATATCTGCTCTGCCCAGAAGCATACATAGTCACCCCAGAAAGGTATGTCTGCATATTATAACAATTTAAGTGCATGACTATGGAAGCCATAAAGATATTCTTTTACCTGCCAGATAAAATGCTTAGCTCCAACCTTTTCCTGCTCTTTTAGTTTAAAGAAATCTAACCTTGTATTATCTCTCACGGCTCGCTCACCTAACTCCCACAGTGTGCATTCATTTTTATCTCGTGCTTCTGTATTGTAGAAACTGAGATACAGACTTTGACAGCTCACTGCTCTTCATTCCCGACCACGATCTACAAAGGAGACACTTCTTGATTAACAGCTCCTATTTCATTGTCTCTGTACTTTCCAGACACAATTGAGGTCACAGGAATGTGGGGGGGGGGGCAGGACTAGAACTGGGAGGGGAACCTTGTTTTGTGTCTGGGAAGTGCCAGGACAATGAGATAAGAGCTGTCATTGAAGAGGTGTCTCCTTTGCAGATTGTGAGTAATGAAGAGAAGCGAGCTGTCAAAGTCTGTATCTCAGCTTCTACTTCACACAGAGGCATGGAATAAAAATCAACACACACTGTGAGAGCTAGGTGACTGAGCTGTGAAAAATAATACAAGACAAGCCTTCTTTAATCTGAGCTTTAAGTGCTCTGTTTCTGCATGAGCTCTTTTCTTGCACCTAATGATGCATTACAAGGGGTTTAGCATTGACACAAACATTGTGAAGGTCTCAGGTACAGCTCTCCCATTACAAGAGAAGGAAATAAACATGGTAATCAGTTGAATTTACTCATTTTCGTAATCTTTGTTTTTAAAACATATTTCATATGCTTGTTCTTTAGACCAGAAGCCTTGTTTAACTATCGTGTTTGATGTATTCCAGGGCAGTGTGAGAAACCAGCAGCAAGCTATTTGTCCATCACAAGTGATAATACAGAATACTTTGACATTGGCGATGTGGTAACAGTGACATGTGAGCCCGGATATCGCCCATCATCCGCCAATATCACCTGTGTGGAACTCAATGGCCTCCCTCAATGGAATGAGACTGTTGAGTGTATAAGTGAGTGAAGCCGCCGATCTCTTACCTACAGATGTTGTGTGGGAGCTTTATAACAGAATTCCCAAACTATTATAACATGTAAAGTGCTGTAAAATGTCAATTAGCCTGAAGTTTTCTTTCATGTCATTGTAATAGCTCCTTAGTTATATGGAAATTAATACTGCAACTGTCTGTTATCAACACTGAGCTCAGCACACCAGCTCTCCCATTACAAGAGAAGGAAATAGTCATGTTGATCAATTGAATTTACTCATTTTCATTATCTTTGTTTTTAAAACATATTTTGTGTGCTTGCTCTATAAAGCTGTAAAGCAGCCAATCTCTAAGAGATGTTGTGTGGGAGCTTTATAACAAAATTCCCAAATTATTACTACATCCATCCCCTAGTGGGGAGGGACTGGTGGAGGATTCAGGGGGATATTTCTTGTGCTTGCTCTTTGGACCAGAAGCCTTGTTTAACTATCTTGTGTGTTGTATTTCAGGGCAGTGTGAGAAACCATCAGCGAGCAACTGGTCCATCACAAGTAATGATACAGAATACTTTGGCATTGGTGCTGTGGTAACGGTGACATGTGAGCCCGGATATCGCCCATCATCCGCCAATATTACCTGTGTGGAACTCAATGGCCTCCCTCAATGGAATGAGACTGTTCGGTGTATAAGTGAGTGAAGCAGCCAATCTCTAAGATGTTGTGTGGGAGCTTTATAACAAAATTCCCAAATTATTACTACATCCATCCCCTAGTGGGGAGGGACTGGTGGAGGATTCGGGGGGATATGTCCGGTGTTGAAACTGAACTTTAGAAGTTTAAGGTTTAGCAGAACTAATGTGATAAAAAAATAGCATAACTAGGCAGGGCCGTCTTTAATATTGGATGGACACTGGGCAAACATTTTCTTATGCACTCCTCATCCCTTCCCGCCATGTCTTGCCCCCTATTCATCCCGCCCCTGCCATGCAATTTCACTCTCCACCCTTCAGAGGATGATGTGACCCCGCAGTCACGCTACATGGCATATGGCAGGGGTGAAGCAACATCACAGTAAACAGAACGGTGCTGCGCAGAGGTGTAACTAGAAACCTCAGGGCCCCCGGTACCAGAGACCACGAAGACTGACATTTTGCACTGGACACAGTACATGCTGTGGTTCTTCAGCTCATGGTCGGTGCAGGTGGAGATCTTGCGGGGAGATGCCAGCAGTCCCTGGGGTGGTGGGTTGCAGCGCAGCCGGCACGGTTCACAGTAAAAGACGTCGTACTGCTTGTACATGACTGTCACATCCTTGTGGCTCTTCTCACACAGCTGGCAGTAGCGGGTGGCTGCCTTGCTCTTCAGGTAGCGCTTGATAATGCCCTCCAGCACCCAGTTCTGGCTGAAGAATTTTTTCCTTCTGCCCCCCCCCCCCCCCCCCCCGGCGGGGGGAAGGCCAGGGGCGGGGCCCC